TTGCTATCGATCGGTACTGGCCGCTAGCGTTTCGTAGAATATAGCGTAACAGGAGGGTAGGTGTTGCCTCTCTCGAGGTAAAAGGGTAGGTATTGCCTCTCTTGACAGTCTGGACCCTTCTTTTCTCCTATACTCTCACAAAACACTAGCGGCTTTCTATGGCTGAATTTTTATAGCAGAGGAGCGTAATTGCAAAGGTAGTGCGATTGCGCGTCGACGCCCGTCATCGCAAAGTTTAAAGGCTGCGTAATCTCATTTTAGGTAGTGTCCTTTCTAGATGTTTTAGAAAGTTTGTTCAACTTGTTTCGATTTGCGTACTGCATGTTCTCGTTTTCAACTAATTACGATGAGTTTTGTTTTCAGTTTTACATATATTATTTATATTTTATATAAAAGTATACAGATCCATCAAAAAAAAACATTTTTGCAATGAAACGACAAGTATAACAACCTTTTTGAAAGACGGTAATGCATCCTGCCATTTCCGTTGCATCAATTCGATTGGAATTTTTCTCAACATCTTCCCTATCGTCCATGCAACGTAGAGTGTTTGCAACTTCTCGCTTCCGTAGAGATTATGCCCCTTCGCAATAGACCACTGGAAAAGCGAAATGGAATAAAAGAGCTTCCTGCTGTTAGATGAAGCGATTCTTGGAAAACATAAATAGCAACGGATGATATTTACGAGCGAGACAACACCCGCTCTGCTTCAAGCCATAACATAGAAGGACAACACTTACCTCGAAAGCCCATTCTCCTTCTTCCATCAGCGAAAACTTGGAACACAAATACTTCTTTTTGTCAACCATTTTCTTTTTAGTCATAGGATGTTCACCAAATTTATGCTCAACGAAGAAGTTCGTATATTTGCTGAAACATACATCGTCAATCAGAGCTGGCTACTTTATCCGTCAATGGCGCTGAATTTACCTAAAAGAATTATCATCAGAAGGGCAACCCATCCTGAAGAGATTCGACGGGTCAGGGCGCAGATTATCCCCTGAGTCGGACTTGTTGAGTTGCAGCAATTCGCTCTCTTAAATGAAGAGCCATTACATTGTTAAGTCCCAAAACAATTCAAATGAATAATTAAATAAGTTCATTCAATAGAACAGTAAAAGAACAAAAGGGGATCCCAAGAATGAGGCAAAGATCGTTGCTTGGAAGAAACCTGATGTTTACGCACAACGTGAATTTACCAACCTTCCACATTACCGCTCCAAAAATTGTTCACAAGACGACCTTGAGATAATCCCAGCATCGTTTTGAAGTAATCAATCAATGTAGCGAAAGGTTTCTGTAAAGGTTAGTTTTCACGTGAAATTCATAAATCATAATTTAAGAACCTACTTCGTCCTCTTGTGTCGGTTCCTCTTCAGAGTCCTCCATTTTCATACATCCATCAGACTCACCAGACAAAATTTCAGCCATTAAGTACACTAAAAAAAGAGTTCTAATCCGGCCGGGGGGGGGGGGTAAGGGAGTGGAGAGTACAATGGCGAAACAACTCACTATTGTCCTGTTGCAAATAAACCTCTGCTGGCAGTGGTTTATTTGAACTGTAATTATCTCTGTACAAAGTATCTCTACGATCAGACGACAGTTCCAAAGTTACAGACATCTGAAAACAGCGGGTACTGTAGTAAGCACAGCTGAAGGATAAGTAAGTAGGTCATACCTGCTCCAATATGTCACTGAGTCGTTCAAAAAACACCTGACACAGATGATACTCGTAGAGAGACGGATCCATCGCCTTTACTAGCTGATAGAACTGTGGCGCTGTTGAATAATATCGTAAATCAGATTCATCAACATTATGCCTGAACAGGACAACGATACGTAATAAGGCCATGTTCATAACTTGCGACCATGAAGAAATGCAGAAATGCAGAAATGCGGAATCTGCAGAAATGACGAAAAGCATTACATACGTATCGATTTGAAGAAATGCGAAATGCAGAAGTGCGGAATCTGCAGGAAATGACGAAAAGATTAGATACGTATCGATTTTCCGCAATTCGCATTTCTGCATTTCTTCAAATCGATATGTATTTAATGCTTTTCGTCATTTCTGCAGATTCCGCACTTCTGCATTTCTTTACGGTCGCAAGCTGTGAACGCGGCCTAATACGGAAGAACACAGAAAACCAAACACCAGCGATTTCCCTTGGATGTAAAAGTTATTTTTTACTCACACGAATATTCTCCTCGCCACAAACCAATAAAATCGGCCATGACGGTCCCGCCCGATGGGTTCCATCCGCAAAGGTTGCTTTGATGGAAACTCGTCCAACGGCAAGCAATCTTGTACTCCTCGTACCTAACAAGAACAAGGTAACAGGAGAAGGGAAATTAGGAAAACAAGGAAAACTTGAACGAGAATAAGCATTGTGTAACAACTGAATGCCTCTTACCTTGTTCTTATCGCAGAGCTCACAGGACCATTCGTCGGGTTTGGTTTCAAGATTGATACAGGTAGCATGAAAAACTGCCTCACAAGTATGACACTGGAGCACATCACCACCTTTGCAGCATGAACGGCATGTCTCCTCGTGCTGAAAACAATGACTTTCAACAAAGAAACACACTGGAGAAGGAAGCCAAAAATTCACCTCAAGGCGCCCACCAGTGGCCACCACAGTCTTTTTATACTCATTGGAATAAAGGAATCGATAACTAAGAAAGGTAATAAGGACTAAGCGTGTAGGGAAATCTACAAACGGATAATTGGGGGTATTAACCGCTTCCATGACTTCAACTGGAACATTTACGTCGCTTGAAAGGTATTGTCGCAGTACCTAAAAACGTTCTGAGTACAAGGACATGTTCAACATGGACATGAACGTGACAAATAAATAAAAAAATAACATGTTCGTGGTAAAGAGTTAGCGAATGCAGGCATCTTCTCAACATAAAGTCAAAGTCATTAGTGACATTGGGCCCCGCACAAGAGATAAAGAGGTGGAGTGTTAAGTGGCGCGTTTATCATCGCATGGTTCGGTCGCGCATGGTCTGGTTGTCAAATCACGAATAGGCTCCCGCTCAGGACAACCTGTGGAGCCCTCTATTCCTCCGGGGACGGTAAATTGGTACCAGATTCGTCTGGGAGGATAAAACACTGACTTGTACATCGGCTGGCCCCCGCAAGTCATTGTATAGGCCACATCGCATTCAATAAGCCACTACGATTCTGAATGGAAGTAGAATGCGTGCCGCATTCCAAATGGACTGATGAACGGCGCAGACTTTGGCTTTTCTTACTTCAAAAGTCCCGTTTACACTTTGCGGTAAGAAGAATCCATAAATTAGAGATTAAGCGAATCAGGAGCACGCGCAACTGTAAGTATAGGAATCGATTTTGAGAATGCGGGATTTGCAGGAAGCACGAAACGGGCGCAAAGAAAGACAAATATCGTTCTGAAGAATACTTGAATTGAGGAAAGTCAATCACAAGAAGACGCGTTTTGACTGGTTTATCAAAAGGTAACGATTGGATTCATTTGGCTTCCATCTAGCCCTTTAGCGATTCCTTCCGATTCGCGGATCCTGAGCGGGTCTTGTAATTTCCTTTGCACGTATTTTTCCGCTTTGCGGAAATGCTACATTCGCAATGTATGAACAAGGCATAATGTCCTGATAGAAAAACCTAATAAAAATGCAGGAAAGAAAAGTTTGAACACTTACTTCTGCATAAGTCATTGGTTCTAAGCAGGCTGTAATAATATTGTACGCGTTATTCGTTTCATTTCCAGAAAAGTGAACCTAAAACGTAACAATCAGCAAAGTAGGAAAAGGTTATCGTGGAACGCTTTTCCGCGAAAAATCTTTCACCTGCTCTTCATCATCATTTTTGAAACACATCCTAAGGAGGACGAGGTGAATTTCTGACAGCAATCGTGAATTATCCGAAGAGGACAGAGCTGCACAGAAATCTTCAAACAAAAAAGGCGACAGCCGTAACGTACGCCAGTAACTACGCAAAAGTTCATAAAGCTAAAATAAAAAAATTTATATGATTCAAACAGAAACCAACAATTGTATTCACCTCTACCACATCCAATAAATATTCGCTAGGCACAGGAATGTCTTTACTGCTTTCAGGAAGTGTGAGTGGAGGTATTTCAGAGGAAGGCAGATCAATCCATGGTATACGTGAGCATTCCGCCTGTAAACAAATATAGCCTTTTAGGCTAGAGAAGAACTATGAATGACACTCATTAGCAACAAGTGCGTATAGGAAAAACCTCATAAAACATTAGAAAAAAGTTACAAAAGGTGATCATGCCACATAAGATTCCACTGAAATGAAACGAAAAAGAAAAACAAAAAAAAACAGAATCCAAGATATAGATTTATGGGTACCTTAGCAAAAATTCTATTGAAAAATGGGCGCTGGTCGGTTTGAAGGGACATGTAGCATCTTGCGAATTTTTTTGTCTCGTTCTTGTTCAATTACACGTCTCACCCTGGTGCAATCTTCTCAAGTGTAAACGAAGTTCCAGCTACTGCATACTTTTACAGTAATTTACAGGTCTCCACTGGAGGCATCGGCGGTGTGTCGATGGGAACCAGCAAAATGCTCCCACCAGGCCGAAATGCGCCAAGAATGATTTAAAAGTACCAAAAACGGAAATGTAGGGCTGGTAAAATCAAGTGCCACACAGTCAATCTTCATTAATTCGGAACTGGGTTGATGGTTGGTGAGGGTGGAAAATTCGCGCTTACAAGGGAGGTCGTTCAGGCCGTGGTGAGCTTTTTCAAAACGATTTGTTGCATGTTGTAGGGGTCCATACAAGGACCACACAGATGGGTTTCATTTTTGCTAAACGCTATTGGGAATGTCAAAAAAGGAATAAAAACAAATCGCTTAAAATACGCAAGTTTTATCATCTCATTCGCATCTGTTTCAGCTGTAAAGCAGAATACATAGAGTTTATAAAGTGTTTCTCAACTAGACATGAAAAAGAACATTGAATAAGGTCGAAATACAAGTGCCTTACTTGGCATACAGTGAGGTACACTGCAATTTCTTTAGGGGCTTATGCAGCATCCCTTCGCGCTCGCAGTGGCCTTTTAGCGCCACGCTGGCCCCAGATCACGTCGGCGCCATAAATAATTGTCAGAATCGTGATCAGGGCCATTGATTACCCCTGTTTAAGAGGTTTCAGCGAAAAATTTTTTTTCGAGTTTCTTTAGTGGTCATGGACCTGACCATTTGGATGGCAGTGACAGGCGAACCCTCCGTTAAGTATCCTCTCTGGCAGACGAACCGCCAGAAATTTTTCATTTCTTGCCCCTCAACTTCAGTAGGTCTTCATAGAACATCGTGCTAGCTTCGGAGCCACTAAACGAGCATCCTGGATCTTTCTTCACTTTTACCGTCTATGCTTTCGACAAAGAACTCGTTACCACTTGCCCGGAGAAAGGTTTTTGTTTCTCATATCAAAGGTATGAGAGGAGTGCAGTGTATGTGCGTCACTTTTACCGTCTATGCTTTCGACAAAGAACTCGTTACCACTTGCCCGGAGAAAGGTTTTTGTTTCTCATATCAAAGGTATGAGAGGAGTGCAGTGTATGTGCGTCACTTTTTTGTGTAGTTTTTAATTCTGCGTCTGCATACTAGCAAATGAAAAGCTTCCTCTTAACGATGTTGGATAACGACTCCTTGGGGGGGGGGGGGGGGGGGGGGGGGGGCTGATAGCCACTAGCTGGAGACATGGCCGGCAACATAACACAAAAAGCTCGGGAAAATTTTTCTCGGCGTAACTCTATACGTAGGGGTAATTGATGGTCCTGATCACGGTTCAGATACTTATTTTTGCAGGCCATCTGGGGCCAGTATGGCGCTAAATAGCCCCGCCGCGCAGACTGACAATGATGGTAGTACGAGAAAGCCTTTGCACCAAATTAGCGACACATTGCGCCATATTCAAAAATGAGTGTCGTGTTCATGATCAGAGCATCGGATAACCGCCGTAACCCAAGTTTCATGAAGAGTTTTTTCGATAGTATTTCGCGAGCGTAATAATTGAGTGAGGCCTATTTGTGAACCGTTCCCGCATGGAATGTGCCTTCAAATGGCGTATATCCGGGTCATACACATTATGGGGCATACAGGAATACAAGAAGCAAGAAATGTGAAAAATGCAAAAATTGTGTCGGCAAGGGGATCCGATCCATAAACCCACCGACCGAGAGCCCGTCGCACTATCCACCACACCATCTGCCACTGCGACACTGGAGATACAGGACCTGTTGAAGAGATATGCGCAGATGACCGGAAAACTCCAATGCAGCTCACCGCATGCCAAGTAGACCATTTGGATTTTGACCTTATTTTGCGCTGTTTTTCATGCCTGCTCAAAGGATACCCTACATACTATACCCTGTCAACGCTACAGCTAGAACAGAGGCGAATAAGGTGGTTTAAAAAGCCCATTCTTTTCGAATTGTTTTTGACCTTTTTTTGACATTCCCAGAACCGTTTAGCAAAAATGAACCCCATCGCTATGGTCCTCGCATGGACCCCTACAACATGCAACAAACCGTTTTGAAAAAGCTCACCACGGCCTGAACGACCTCCCTTGTTAGAAACGGGTCTGTTCCTTCGGAGCTGGCATGACGGTGATGAGTGCAGGAGAGAAGCCCAAAGGAAGTTCTAGTGGGCACGAAGGACCCGCCATTCTTAGAGTCGGAGAGCCGCAAATATACCACATTTAATTCTGGGGCGCTCTATCCGGTCCTTTCAATCACTGCATTCAGCAGGTCGATAGAATTTTGCAGGGATTCTCAAGATTTGCGCATGCAAGGACGACTGACATAAGCGGTAAGCATGATTACACGCGGTAGATCTCCACAGGTGACTGTTTCCGCCCGAAATTCACCTTTTCCTGTTGTCTTAGAAAGTGGAAACTAGAAATGCCAACCACAGTGGGTATAATGACAAGATCTAGCGTGGAAAAACTCAGAATGCGACCTCCCTCCGGTGTGCGACATTACATCAATCTTCCTTTGCGACTGAGTGTTCATAGGGTAGGAGATGGCAGAAAGGAGATTTCTTTCCGCATTTCACCGAGACTTGCAGTATTGTGTTACCATAAGTACCCGATGTAGACGTTTCCCCTCAAACTGCTGATATTAGCAAAGGAATAACGGGAGGGAAATCACACTGAAAACCGCAACCTTCCTATGCCCTTCAAAAAATAAAACACATTGTGTGGTCATAAATAGGTAAAAGTTAAAGCAAATGAACGAGCAAATGTCAAAAGGATAAGGAGGTAATATACGAAAAATATGAATAAAAACAAATCACTGTAGACATACCGCATCTTCCTCAGAGTATTGAAAGGTTTCATCGTTTGCGAAACAATCGGTGTCCTGCTCATCTTCGAGGAACACTTGCGACTCTGAATATTGATGTTGCTAGGATAAATCCTTTAATTTGACAATCCAGTCTCTGAATAGCAGGCTTAGCGAATTATACACAGGTAGTAGAACGACATAGACAGAAAAACAGCAAGCTTATCGTCCTGTCTTACAGAAAACTTATTTAGACCGAAGGAAAACTCGGTCGCAACAAAAAAAGGGAAACAAAATAGTAGGGAGCATAATCGTAAAACAAGGTTAAAAGGGATATAAAATAGTAGGGAGCAGTCGTAAAACAAGGTTATGGTGAGTGGAACCAATGGAAATGGAAACCGAATAATTCACTGATACGTAATCAGTAGCTTGCATGAAACAGCGACTGCTCATAGAACAATGTTTTTGAAAAACAAGACACATATTAAACTAGAACTGAAATTTGAACTGAAACTTTACGGCAGCTTTTCGAGCGCCTGCCAGCGTTTTGAGCGTTTGAGTCTTTGTAGCGATCAAGGAAATACAGTTATCGATTATCGCTGAGAACGGATACTCAAATCGCTAACAAACCCTATACTTTCCTAGTCGATAAAAAACCCTAAACGCTGACGCCGAGTCCGAACACATTCTAAGAAACATCGACAACGCCAAGTCGTGAAATCCGGGGAATACCGAATGAAAGAGCTTGTACAGTTCCTTACCCAATAGAAAACGCTAACAGGAAAAAGTGAGAAACTCTCCCAGATGTCAAAGATAATCAATCAGCTGCCAAAGCGAGAACCTTGTGGTGGGACTGTCACACAATCTCGTCGCCATCTAGCTCAACGTCAATTCTGCCTTCAATTAGTCACTGCACTGCGAAAAAATTCACGGTCACTGTAAACTTGACAGTGGATTTTTCACCCACAAGGCATGCCATAGGAGCGATTTGATAAGAAAACAGAAAACAAACGTACAGCAAATAAAACACCAAAAAACAAAATGAAAGAATTCACAAGCTAACAGACATACGTGATGTTATAAGCGAATACTCCTCTTCACTAGAAGATGATTCAGTTTCAGAACACGATACATAATCGTACGCTCGATCTTCATTGTCGTCAACCTCCCATGGTCTGGAGTGCTTGCTTTTGGCAGAAGATCTTCCCTTTCCGACCCTAAAAGTCCTGTTTTGAACTGAAATTCGAGAAGGTGATATAACTATAGTTGAAGAGGTAAACAGCAAAACACTACTTGGCAGAGTATTCGGAATATCGCTTGAAGAGAAGTGTTTCCAATCAAAGAGGGCCCCAGAACAGAACCTTAGTTTTGAAGGAGTTCTTCATTAAATATCTTCGAACGAACAAAATAGTTTTGCTAAAACTAGTGACCAACCGTTCTTCAGTTAAACAGAACGTCTGGCGAATTTGGTGGAAGCGCAATACAGGTTCGCCTACAATCCATATCCCGAAGATGGCAAGGGCGTGGCTGCCCACCTCACATAAGCGTTTTGGGGACTGCTTTTTAGATGTGAGAGTTCCCTTTCGGGACAATTACTGTCATTTCTTAGCTCATTACAAAACATAAGGATTGTCGTTTCAAGTAGATCCCGCCAAAATCGTATGCATAGTTATTATAAAATGGAGTACGCAGCCAAACATCCTTACGCCTTGGTATGGAGCGTAGAAGCAAGAAACGAGCCCTCAAGGCTAGCAGACTGTATCATTACTTATAAATAAATAAATAACTAAAAGTAAGCAAATATCGAAGAAACCTCAGCGAACCTGGTTTTTCCCTCCACAGGAGCTCTGGTTGACGTCTGAGACTTCGATTTCGATCCCGATGGTCGCCCCCGCTTTTTTGGTTGTGATTTGGTGGTAGATTTTGCTGGTGTAGCAGCTTGCGATACTTCTTGTGCCTGTGCTATAGCCCTCCTCCTGAGGCTGATTCGAAGCGAAGGAGCTCGTTCTGTCACCGGGAGTGCAACTCCGGGCATTGACGATCTTCTGCAGCTCCGAAACTGTAAATACAACACTGCTAGTAACTTGGTAAGCACTGAAAGCACGTAACGAAAAAACGGCGAGCCTATGGTAAACAGAAGATTTTACACGGAATTAGCTCACCGAATGACTATTGCCTTAATCGGCAGATGCATGCTTTGCTAGTAATACGAATAAGAGTCTGTGTGTAACCTTTTTCATCTCAAAACTGACTACTTTGGTTAATTTTAATTCCCTGAAACTGCAAATCTGTTGACCATGGCGCATTAGATTCACACTGGAGCATACACGCTGACTTAGGAATGGATGCAGCGGCATCCCGCGCGGCAACTGCCAGTCTGATGCTATTTTTTTAATCGCAATGTACGGCCCATCGAAAAATCCGGGTAAGTTTCGAAATTCCGCACTTTCGTGGAGCTGTACGCGCATGAGTAATTCCAAGTCAATCTGGAGCCCCGGCTCTAGTCCAACTCATACTTTCCTATTGGAAACGGGAAATGTCATATAAAATCCCTACTATAAGTGTTGAATAGAATAGTAAAGTGGTGATGAGGAAACTGGCCGAGGAAGGCAGCTCCGGCAGTCGTCGTTTCGCAACCGCCGCGCTGACCCGCACGCCTTTCTCTGACTGCCTGCACCCTCTCCTAAACACCCGACAGAAAAATCCAAACCTTAGAACAACTTTCTACAAAAGTCCAAGCAAATCCACAGATAACATTCCTCATCTGAATCATGACGTCACGGACGACTCACGTCATCTGGAGGGCTACCGTACCACACCTGCGCTGTTTCCTTGGAAAGCGCGCGCCACAGTAACGCTATTCGTGTCAGGACGCACATTTGGAAAAACCGCGGAATTGCACATTTCAACCGGAAGCTTAGTGAAAATTTGCTTCAGACTACAGGCAACAGCTTCGTGTTTCTTCCTTTCATCATCTGAAATTGTTCATTCTTGTCATCTGGAAGTGAAACTGCTTTTTTTCCTTGTTGGAGCACTTTCTGATGGTTTTTTGCGACATAACAGAAATAACCGTGAATATTTTTGAGGACCACGTTCTCTTGCGTTGCATTAAACAAATAGTTGAAGCTGATGGAATGAGGCACTGTGCAGCTTGCGGTGTCTTTTTTATTTTTTTTTTTTTGACGGATGTTTTTTGCGAAGGTAACTCACGATTCCCTCAATTAATTCTGGGTGCTAGCCGAATGCGCGGAGAACTTTCAGTGGACACTTGAAAGCGCTGTAAACATTTTTCTTTTGTAATGAAGGGGCTTTTTACCAGTATTATTTCAGATGTCATCCTCTGGTATTATGGACTCGTCAACCATGAATAACGATGCCCGTTCTGGCGAGCTGTTTTCGTTTTTCGATAATGCAATGGATTATTTTACGGTGAGTTTTTTATTGGTAACTTCATGGCGATCGTGTGTTGTTCCTGATTATCTTTCGAAATGCTGCATGGTGGGGGTCTGTAAAGACTTACAGAGTTGGTTGTTAGGATTGTTAGGAATTCCATTTTCACCACTGTAACTACCGACACTGAACTTTCTGTCGGAAGCGCCTGTTTAAAAAAAACTAGACTTTGTTACATGCACTGCATTTTATCCAGAATATCTTAAGGTAACTCGTGAAGAAGCGTTCGAGAAGCTCTTATCAAGAGCTAACCAATTGCCTCGTAAATTTGAAAAGTCAAAGATATGTTGCGAGCAGCTCAAGCAACGTAAGTGTTCGCATATTTGTTTCCAATAGATTTGGAACATTTTCTGCAATTTCAAGTTTAATTTTCTGTTCATTAGGGTATCTGACAAAGCTGAGATCTGTTGAACAACGTTTGGAGCAGATGAATTCACTCAAGAGAGAATTGACAAGCGAATGCGAAGAGCTGCAACAGAGAGAAAGTTGTCTTGGGAGTGAGATAGCCGACTACCAAGTTAAACGTGAAGGTTTTTTTTTGAATATTTACTTATTATCTTTCTCATCAGTTTGGATGTGTTGGTGATTGAATCGCGACTTTATCAATGATTATCTTGAAGCAACTCAAAATAACGGGAGACAGTAAGAGGTGGCAGGTGTGCTCTCTGAAGATCGCACTCATCCACACAAAATGAGAGCGCGTGAATTTAACTTGTTCGTTTGATGGCTGAGTTGATGCTCAATCCGCTCAGTCCTTCCACTTTTGCAGAGCACAGGGCTAAAGGATGAATTTTTCACCCTTGATTGCTCTTTTTGGAATGCGCCACGCGTTACACTTGTATTCGAACTCAATAGTTTATTAAACGCCATATTTCCTTTACAATTATTTGCGGGAGCCAGCCGATACGAAAGTCAGTGATTTTATTATTCCAGACGAATTTGGTACCACTTTACCGTCACGAGCGGATGGAAGGCTGCTGGTTTGTAGAGGAGCTAAGCAGGAATTTTATCCCGGACCGTGCGTGTCTTCGCACGTACTCAAGTAAAAGTTGTCGTCGAGAATAATAATGCATGAACCCAATACTACAATGGACACCATCGCGAAAATGTAGCGTTTAGCCTTTCTAGTTCGGAAACTTGTTTGTCTAGCCCGCTTTCGTGTTCTTACACAGTGGCAAAAAATAGCTTCGAACAAGCTACAAAACTGTATTTTCAACTGTTCTAACCTGGCTGATCGATTTGAAACCTACAAAAAAGACCTTTGAAGCTCCGCTTTCTTTCGTGTCCAGACGTTTTGTTTGGACAAGGTAGTCCTGTCCGGAAGCATGGAGGATGTACTACATTTGCACCTAGAAACGGGTGAGAAAAGCCGACCTGACCGCGACGATGCCACGGTTCCCCATTGGCCACGGCAGCGCCCAACTTTCATATGCTACTAGCTGATGAGGTCTTTGTTCTGCTACTGACTCTCCAATTTGTGCGATGTTGTGATACAGAAAGAGCTAATACCAGCATGAGAACCATCCGACCACGCCCCTTCTTCGCCGTACACGCGTGCAACGCGGTTCAGAATGGGGTTCTATATGGACACATCAGACGCTTTCTGCTTTTTTCTTCACTTTTATTTTACCTACCATCTTACCGTTAGTATTTGAGCCGCACAGCCATTTTTGCACGTGGAACGAGTTTTGCATTTACAGAAGCACCCTGAAGCGGCAGTAGCAGCTAGGTAAATTTTAGGTTGAGCAAATATAAATTTTCGATCACGAAAAAGTCACTATGAAAACAAGAGTTGAGCAATTCATTTTGGGGCTGGTCTCCATTATCACCAGTGACTCTTGGCCGTTACTCCCTTACATAATGAAAGAGTTCGCTCCCTTGGCTGTGACCCGAAGAAATTGAAGACTTCGCTCAGGTTTCTTCAGTCTTTCAACTTTCTCCCCCCCCCCAGCAAGTTCTGCATGGAACGGAACCAATAGTATTCAGATGGTGCATCATAATGGCAGTGTGACACGTGAAAAAGTACTGCCAGATGAGTGTCTTCTGCTAAATGATGTTCCCGTCGGGTATGTGAATGTTGTTGCGAAGGTTTTCTTGGTCATATCACCAACTTTGGGCGGCCGCCAGTTTCATTCTGCAGTTGTTTGATCAGTGGCATATGTAATAGATCCTCGGCCTCTTTGTCACATCTGATTAGTACCACTCGCTTATGTCTCTCTGGTCTAGTCCGGTGACAGGAGTAGCACCGAAGGGCTTTCGTGCTCTTCGATGGCTCACGCATCTATTTTGAAGTCCCCAGAAGCATCTGGAGCAGTGGTTCTCCGTTATCTACGTTCCGCTGGAAGACACAACCATTGGGGTTGTCATCACTGTGTAAAGTAGCACAGTACAATGTAGTGGCACAAGCATACATGTTGAAGAGTTTTTGACCGCTGTATTCTCAGGAAGTTTGATACTGATAAAAATAAATTCGGAATGAAGGCTCTATTGGCCGATGCTACGGTGCTCTTCTGAACTGTAATCATGTAACTGCCGTAATTGGAAGGCAGAGAAGAAGGGAAGTGATGGGGCGCGCATCATTATTTTCTTAACCCAATATTTAGTTGGGTAGCCACTCGACATCACCAAGAACATTCGTTTTTAGGGGCATAGAGTTCCCCAGGTATAGTTCACATGATTTCTAATGATGCCCATGAGCATTCGATACCATTCTCCTAGAAGTGCGCCACACAGCTCATCTGTGGAAACGACGCATGCGCGCTAACTAGCGCTTCAAGATAGCTCGTATATGCACGACGGGGTTGATATACACTAGATATCACTATATCATCCATCATTGGCTGTTTCCTCCTAAATTGATCTCTACCCGATCGCCATTGGTAGAGCAAGGGAGCCGAAGGACTCGAACCGCGCTGCTCACGCCGCCTTCGACAGTCCGCAGGGATGAGGACTGTACACTCGGAAGCCCTGAGATGTAGGCGTGGCATGTACTTCAACTGAATGTGGCAGTGGCAGTGCTTTTGGAGAGATATTCTCAATTTTTACAATCGTGGCCGTGTATCTGTCCAGTATTGAACAAGTTGTCTCAAACTGAAATATCCCACGAGTAACCCATTCCGTCCATATACAAATGCCACGCCTTCTCCTTCTCAGCGATAAGGTGTGCACATGTTTGACTCGTGCTTTTGTGCCATAACGGTTTCTTTACATACTTTGATGTTTGCTGGGATCTTTTTGGACTGGACAGCTTTTTCTTAGTGCTATGTGCTCTTTCAGGCCTGAGTGATAATTGATTTGATATCTATTAGGGTGTCCACAAAGTTCGTTGGCCATTTGTAAACAGCGTCGCGTTACGCAACGCGTTGTGATTTTGCATAAAGATTTCGCAATACTGAAAGTACTCGCGATGGGCTATCTTCTGAGCTAGCTAGCTCTAAATTTCCTTTCCTGCTCTTCCCACAATAAAGCAGTGAAGATGAGTGATAGTCACCACCACCGCCGATGTTTGCTGGACTACTACAACCTGGGCATCTCCAGACGTCAGGCCACGACCAGGATGCGTCAGCAGTTTGGTAATAACACCCCTTCTAAGAACTGGATGTCAAAATGGTGGACTCGCTTCACCAATGAAAACTATGGCATCGAAGATATGCCGAGGTTTCTGGTTCTCTCGCCACGGCGTCGTCCACTACAGCATCCTACCCAACAATGCCACAGTGACGGCAGAGACCCTCTCTAAAGAATTGCAGGAGGTCAAGGTGAAAGCTGCCGCCTTGTCCCAGAAACTTGCAAATCCGTGGTTGCTCTGAGACAACGCGCGCCCCCACAAAGCGAGAGATACTCAGGCCGTCCTGGACAGGCTGGGCATCAAGACGATCACGCATCCACCGTATAGCCCGGACATTAGTCCATGCGATTACCACATCTTCCGGTCCATGCAAAATTTCTTGGACGGAAAACAGCTGAAGAACGAGCGCGACCTCGAGGACGTGATCGAGGACTGGGCCGAGTCGCGGCCGGCCAGCTTTTGGGAGGATGGAGTTGCCTCTCTACCCGATCGTTGGCGAAAGGTAGTGGGTATGCATGGAGATTATATCATGGACCGGTAAGTTCAACTTGGTGAGATATCTTTACCAGCTCTGAAAAAACGAATGGCCAACGAACTTTGTGGACACCCTAATATTTTGGAACAGTCGTAGTGGAAATCGCCACGCAGAGCTCTCACTCCCAACCTCGGCATTGTAACAGTGATACATTTGTTCAGTTATAGCTCCAGGTTAACAACGAATGCGATCTTCTAGCATTTTGGATGGAATCGTCTGTGGCGGAGCCTGGAAGAAAGGAAATCGAGTCATGAGCCTACCCGATAAAACGTTAAGTTACCCCACAAAATCTTCGAGACCATGTTGATTTGTCACTTCATTATTGAGGATCAAGCACTGTACCGCCTGCCAGGGAAGTCCGCCAACTCACCTTGGAATTTTGAATGGAGACCTGGGTAGATCGATAGAGTCTATAAGGTTATTTACAAATATAGATAGCAAAACTGCAACCTGCATTTCACAAGCAACTTATGAGCAGGTAAAGTTTGTAATGGTGCAGTAGGGTGGAGGCTTGGTGGTGAGCTGTGAAGCATAAGCGAGGAATCGCATACGTCGAATCGAGTCGTGGTGGTTCAGTGGTAAGACGTTCGACGACTCGATTCGACGTATGCGATTCCTCGCTTATGCTTCACAGCTCACCACCAAGCCTCCACCCTACTGCACCATTACAAACTTTACCTGCTCATAAGTTGCTTGTGAAATGCAGGTTGCAGTTTTGCTATCTATATTTGTAATAACCTTATAGACTCTATCGATCTACCCAGGTCTCCATTCAAAGTTCCATGGTGAGTTGACGGACTTCCCTGATTAAAATCGCGAGATCAGTCTCATGAACGACAGCAGTGAATTGGGGCTAATCAGCTCCTAGTTTTCAGAGACTATCGTTCCTGAGCCGACCTCGCGTGCTTGTGAGGTACTTCCTCGGTTATTATGTGATGAACTGGTTTGGTATCGAAGAGTTTGTAGGGTAGCATCGCGTTTAATCTATTCAACCCGTCACTCGCTTTCCGTCATCTAGGCTCCGAAGAAGATTTTGTCGAAACGTTACCGTTCGACTTCATTGCCAACCCTTGTGGAGTTATAACTAAATAAACCTATCGTAGTTGAGGAAATATTTAAAAGTAGGCAAACAGCTGAATAATTTGGTAGATTTTTGGTCACAGGTTCGTTGCGTTTGAATGCTTATCATTTCTCTTGAACAAATTTATTTATTTCTAGAGCACGGCCAGCGTTATATGGAGGTCCGTAGAGATTGTACAAAGTTAGAATTGGAACGCTCTATTATTTTGGACAGCTGTTTGGAGGGACCATTAGAAAGGTATGAACCCTGACATTACCCTTCTCTCGAAGTCTGCCTTTCTTCAAAGTGTCTTTACATTTCCTTCTTGAAATACGTCCTTCAACTTTTGTGTTCAGATTGAACGCGAAGCTTTCTGCAAAGGATATGGACTTGAGTATGTGGACCTCATCAGACCAGTTTGAACGTATCAACGGTATGTTAAGTTCTATAACAATACGTACTGCATTTGTAGGAGTTAGCGGGAAATTCCCATTACAGCCACCACACCTGCTGACTGTTATTTGTGTCCCGAATAAGATTACTTTTGATCACTTGTTCCTTGAAGACAAGTCAGCAGGCAACTGGCAAAAATACCAGGAAGCGAAAAAAGCGGCAAAGAAGGCTGTGGGTGCCGCAAAAGCTTCTCACTTCGATGAAATCAGCAAGAAGCTGGAAACACGAGATGGCGAGCGGCACATTTACCGACTTGCTAAAGCTCGTCACCGCCAGACCGAAGACGTGGAGAAGTTCTTTGGCATCAATGACGAGAAGGGCCGCCTCCTGATGGACCGAACAAAGGTGCTGAGGCGATGGCGCGACTACTTTGGAGAAATTTCCACAGTGGAATATGAACACCCGGCCATCCCCTGCGCCTTACCAACATACGGTCCCGTTCGAAAGATAAGTGTGGAGGAAACGGAGGCGGCTCTCAAGAAGATGAAGCCAGGCAAGGCAACGGGCCCTGACGACGTGGCGGTCGAAGTATGGAAGTCACACTGCTGGCATGCTGCCGAATGGTTGACAACGTTTTTCAATCAGGTCGTTGCAGAGAAGAAAATGCCTGAAGTATGGCAAGAGAGCACGACGGTACCGATCTGGAAGAAAAAAGGCAGTCCTGCAGACTGCTCAAATTATCGTCCAATTCGCTTGCTCTCGCACAGCATGAAAATTTTTGAGCGAATTGTTGATAAGCGTCTTCGTGATATCGTCCAGCTCTCTACCAACCAGTGTGGCTTCGTGACTGGCTGTAGCACCATCGACGCCATACATGCCGCTCGTCTCTTGCTAGAGAAACATCGTGAGAAGAAGAAGCATGTTCACCGTGTCCCACGTGAAGTTATATGGTATGCCTTACGGCAGCACGGCGTTCCCGAAGAGCTGATTGAGTGGGTACGCATCCTGTACTTCAGCCCGACGAGTCGAGTGCGAAGTCCAGCAGGCATTTCGATGGGGTTCCCCATCACAGTTGGGGTGCACCAAGGCTCAGCGCTTTCCCCGCTGCTCTTCGTTGTCGTCATGAACGCCATTTCACGGGACCTCCAGAAGCCGGCTCCCTGGACGCTTCTCTACGCTGACGATGTGATGCTCGCCTGCGAGGATAAGAATGGTCTCGAAAAGCCGCCCGCGTCCCCTCCATCCCCGCTGCGAAATTTTTCGCTGACTATATACACACACGGGATGGCGCCGAAAAAAAAGCATTCCCGGCGAACAGCATATGAGTCCAAGTTTTCGCAGCCCAGACAGAGGAAGTGGATATGAGTACCAGGGCGGAAGATACCCAAGATCTTCCTCTATAAAGCAGGAGCCGGCTGCCGCCATTCACCTTCATGTACACAAAAATATGAAGTCATCTCCAGTCGCGGCCTGAGTGGAGAACGCCTTTGGAATTCAGGTGGCCTCCAAACAGCTGCAGAACTTCTTGAATGGAATCACCCATGGATAGCTACCTGGAGACCAGTAGCTGACTTGATCTGCAAGACCTCAAACATCGAGCAGCTCCGGCAACGTCGCTACGGTCCAGGACATCATCTTCACCCCATTCACCAAGGCGCGGGTTGATGGTGTGGACCGGCCGTACCTGGAATGGGAAGACGATATTTTTCTGTTGTAAGACCCGGCCGACTGAAGGTGAGCGCTGGCGGTTACATCAGTAACTCGAGAAGGATATCCTCCCTACATGTGGTCGCCCGTGCCTTCTTGGAGACCTTTGCTGCCACATGGAATCGAAGGGTTTTGGAAAAACTCCCGCCTACTTCGAATGGAAGGGCGTTTCGTACCTGATGAAGATGTAATATTGAAATATGTCCCCTGACCTAAACCCACTCAATTACCTAGTTCGGGCGGAGCTCAACAGGGTGGTCTACAGTGGCGGAGAAATCAACGATATCGCTGGACCTCAAGGTACCAACATATCGTGGGCAGTCGATTATGGCGCTAACATCGACTGCGAGGCGGTGGTGCTCCTGTGCTCCATGTAAGCCCATAAAGTAACATTAAATAGTGGGGTTTCTTGAAATTATACCACGAGATTTGCTTATGAAGAAGCAAAATTCTAGGGTTTGCAGAGAAAATTTTAGAGAAAATATGGCGCTTCGTCTGCGCTCGAAGTTGATCGGAACATAAATTATTTATTACACCACGCACAATTCCAAGTCTATTAAAGGGGAATTCAAGGAACAGCTGCACCTTTGCACTTCTGCAACTTCCTTCTAGAAAATTGCATGACCGATGATGAG